TCTGGGAGTCCCAGCCACTGCCCCCACCCCACCCCACTCAGTTCTTGCATGCGACCACAGGGCTCCCAGTGCTAATCGAGGCCCCACATCCCAGTCACTCCCCCGCCCCTGCCAGGGAGCAGCCAGAAATCCAGTGCCCAGCCAGAAATCCAGGAAATACTGGACATTGCACATGTCCGGTATTTTCTGAATTTTTCTACCAGACAGAGGGTGTGAAAACCAGACACCTGGCAACCCTATGCCCCAGTCTCAAGAGGCACAAACTGTTTATGAGTCACATGTGCTGCCTAAGGTATGTTGCATCCTAGCAACCACAAGAAAATGACTAGAAACCACTGCTGCCTACTTCAAAATTATGCTTCTCCGAATTCTAAGAACTGAAAAAGTAAAAGGGAAAAAATGCAGGCCACACAGGAAAACTTTTCATTGTATGATTACCAAAGATGTTTCAATTATTATATTGTCCTTGTCCTTAACTCTTGTCCACTAAAAGAAATATTTCCTAAAATTCATTCTGCAGTGGTGCCACTAGAGTTTCAGCTCGATTGATGGCAGGGTGTAGTTTTCTGGTATCAGCTAACATTTTGAAGCTCCATGTTGAACAGACCTGCGCTGGGCAGTTACATAATACAATACTTAAAACATTGGTTACCATCTAGATCCCTGGCTACAATAGGTCTACCACTGTTGCTAAACCAGAACTGAAACAGTGTAAACAACCATGGAAATCTGGGGCCAAAAATTTGAAATATAGACACTCCTTGAGGCAATACAATTGTACTAATATGAGTAATTTTAAAGCAAGGTTTTGGAGCTGTTGTTCAAAGCCAGCACATGATGTCTTATGTGTTTTTCATTAGTAAAGGATCAGGCCTGGGCAAAATATGGCATGCGGGCTGCATCCAGCCCAACAAGCCACTGGATTAGGCATGCAGATGCTGTGGGGAGCCCAGGCAGGCTCCCCAATTGCCTCGCTCCATCTGCATGCAGCTCAGAAATGCGGCTGTGGGGCAGTTTTTCTTCAAAAACTGTGAGTCCAGAGGGGGCAAAGCTGGTTTCTGGCCAGAAATCAGCCAGTGGGAGCTGCCTGTTTCAATAACAGGCAGCTACAAAGCACAAGGGGCTCTAGAGCACATGGCTGCTACCTGTGCAGGGGTGTGGCACGCAGCAGCGTTCCCTGTAAACTGCGAAGCAGCACAGCTTCACAGGTGATTAATCAGCCTGGTCCAGTCAGAGGCTCAGGGCTCCATGCAGCTGACTGACTGGGTGGGGCACAAAGGATGGGGCACAAAGGAATGCACGCACAAAGTCTCTCACTCCCTTCCCCCACCCTACAAAGGGCGTGCAGCACCTAAAGGGAACTGCCAGCTGTTGAGAACGGATGGAGGGTAAAAACTTCACATTCTCACTTCACCCCCACACCATTAAGGGTCTTTGGGTCAGGGAGCACAGAAAGCGTCCTGGCCCTGCACCTTCTGCAGACATCTGGGGCCACTTCAAAAATTTGTGAAGTGGCCCCACATCTAAAATTATTGGCCACCCTTAACGTAAATGCTACAGAAGATAAAAAGCCACCTAGATCACTAACTTGACCTGGAGAAAAATTCCTTCCCAACACCATATATAGCAATTAATTAGACCTGGAGTATGTGAGCAAGAACTATCTAGCCAAGCAACTGAGAAAGCAAGAATTTGGTCCACTTCAGAGCCCTGACCAACCCGATTAGTGTCTAATCCCCAGCAGTGCCCATCCCTGATGCATCAAAGGAAAGAGAGAAAAGAAAAAGGAATACATTGGGTTTGGGAGTAGAAGGGAGAGTCCTTTCTTGACCCCACAGACGGGTTGCTGAAAATCTGAAGCATGAGCTTTTAGGAACATAATATATAAACCAGAAGTGAGCCCCAGGTCTGCTGAGTCCTGCCCTCTACTATCACAAAGTAATCCCATCATACAATTGCTTTCTCTTCACACTTTTTTTTTTTAATCTCCATGATTCTTATTGGCAGGTTGGTTAAGAATCTCACTCCATTGATGGTATTACTGGCTCTCTTCTACACCCTCTCCATCTTTCATTATATTTCTCCTCTCTTGGTTGTCTTCTTAACTTTACTTTTTCTGTTTTTAGCCTTTTTTTCCCCTCTCTGCTGCTATGAACATCTTATTGCTAGCTAATATGAGACTGGGACATCAATAGCAAATCTGAAAAATACCTATTCATCTCACTTTTTTCCTTGCCTTTTTCCTTTTCTCTTACTCAGTCTTCAGTGGGATTTTTAACAAAAGATACACTGGAATATCATCCAACTCCTCCTTTATTTCACTTCTTCTATCCATGTCATACCAAACCACATATCATACCTGTGACAGCAGATTCCAATAGCTTGATAAATCTCACTATTTCTTGGGTCACTCAAGGAAGCCTCTTTAAAGTCCTGAAAAAATATATTCAGTTATATATGTTTGTATTGTTTTTGTTTCACTGCAATAATGTAACTTTAGCAAATCAATTTTATATCAACAAGGGGATGAAACCTAAACAAGAACACAGTTTGTTTTCTGTAAAATTGGAGAGTTTATGCACTGTTTTCCATTCCATACTTAAAGTTCAGAATTTCTAATCAGATAATACATTTGGGCTGCGTCTAGAATGGCATGATTTTCCGCAAATGGTTTTAACAGAAAAGTTTTTCCATTAAAAGCATTTGCGGAAAAGAGTGCCTAGATTGGCACAGACGCTTTTCCGCAAAAGCACTTTTTGCGGAAAAGCGTCCATGCCAATCGAGACGCGGTTTTGCGCAAGAAAGCCCCGATCGCCATCGGGGCTTTTTTGTGCAAAACAGTTTTTACCTGTCTACACTGGCCCTCTTGCGCAAATACATTTGCGCAAGAGGGCTTTTTCCCCGAACAGGAGCAGCATAGTATTTGCGCAAGAACACTGACAATCTTACATTAGATCGTCCGTGTTCTTGCGCAAATTCAAGCGGCCAGTGTAGACAGCTGGCAAGTTTTTCTGAAAAAGCGGCTGCTTTTGCGGAAAAACTTGCCAGTCTAGATGCAGCCTTGGTATCTGGGTATTTCTTATGACGCTGGGTGCAATATTACTTACAGTATTTTTTATAAAAACACCTATTTAATTGCAATTAAATGTACATAATAAATGGTACATTATTTTCTGATAATCTCATTTTAAAAAAATCAGTAATAAATACTTAACCTCTTCATTCACTTCTGTTACTGTATTTGTAAACAAGTAAATTCTGAACACTTGCTCTTACATTCAGGTGATGTTGTAAACAAGAAGCAGTCAGTATTATCTCCTGCAAATTGTAGCCAAACTTGTTGGTTAGAGTGATTAGCTGAAGAAGGAATAGGACTAAGAAGCTTTGCAGGCTTTAAAGTTTTACTTTATTTTATTATGGAATGAAGCTATTTTTTGAACCTACAAAAGTAGAATTATATACAATTTTAATGATACAGAGTTTATATTAAAAATCTATTGTTGGTGGATTGTAGAATAATAAGTTATTCTCTTTAGAGTGAAAGATATAATGGCATTATTTGCAATGGACAAAATGTACAGTATTTTCCTACACTCCACCAGGATAGGTAGTATTTATATCAAATTAAAACTAGTGTTATGTTTTTTTACTGTAATACACAGGGAAATCTCATCCCTAAAATAAAAATTAA